ACTATTATTAATTACTAATTATTACTATTATTACTATTATTAATTATTATTATGACTATTACCATTACTATTACAACATTACTACTATTATTATTACCATTACAACATTACTATTGCTATTACTGTTACAACATTATCATTATTACAAGAATGCTCTTTTTGTATCTTAACTAGAGACCGATTGTGAGAAATTGAAATTAAAAACGGATTTGAAGAGGGAAGGAGAGTCTTTTAGCAGGCCAGACTGCTCTTGATTCTCACTTTTGATTCCTGTCCATTCTTTCTCGACATAAAAACGTAAGCAATGCTGGCCAGTTTAAGTCCCATTGCTGAGTCCTCAGATTTCCCTTAATTCGTAGCAGGCATTATAGCTGTCGGAATAAATGGAATAAAAAAGGAAGCTTCCTTACCTTAAGGCTAAGGGACGGCCAATGCACCTCAGTTGGTTGCAGTGGTGGAGTAGACACGATGAATCAGTATACACCGTATTCATCAATAGCCGCTACGCGGAGCGGCCTAGATTTAACAGCATAGAAACGAGGCTGGAAAGTTTCGCCACAGTCAACAACTTAGAGAGGTCCTCGTTTTCCACTTCTGAACTTCTATTTATTTTCCTCACTCGCATGCTTTTGAGTGTATTTTATATTTTCACATTTTTCATTGCATTTCACATTTTGTAGGAAACACTGAGATGCTTGTAACTACTTAAAATCTAACAGTTCATGTACAAGCATGTAGACGGACGGAAGCTTAAGTGACGTATACAAAAAAAATTTATTTATTATTCGTTGTTTTTCTCTTTTACATCCTTGCGAGAGTATTTTACGTTTTCAAACTTTGCATATTTTTATAAAACAGTCAGATACAGTATTTATATCTGACGAAGAGCTAACAGTTTGTGGTACGTTCCACTTTTATGCAAGAAGCTAATGCGACAAACACAAGGAACAAACTTTTCTCCAAAGAAATAAAATTCAGAATTAGAACGTTGATTGCCTTTTAGTCTGGTTTCTTCCCTTTTATCTTTCCGGCTTGGTTGTACCTGCCAGAGGCTCACATGCCACCACCGGCTTAGTTCTCAGGATCATAGAAACGCACAAGCCCCTCCACCACGGCAAGGTGGCAGT